CCAAAATCAGTGTTCTCAGCACCCTTGTGTTCAATCCCTGACATGCACAGAGCAGCAAAATATTGTCCCTGCTACTGTTGAACAAGGTGATGCTCCACCTTCTTGTCTCAGCTCTCGTACTATATACAAGTGTCCAGTTTGCAATCTATTTAGTACTACTTTTTTTTTTTGGCATTTTTGTGTTCTTTGTTGGTAATCTCATGGTTTGAAAGACCCCAAAATGTAGTACTGAAGTGCAATCTAGTGTTCTCAAGCGCAAGAAGGATGTGATGTGCCTTACAGAGAAAATATGTGTTCAATGAGCTTCATTTAGGCATGACTTATAGTACTGTTGGCTAGAGATTCTCTCCCTCTTCTCCCTCTGCCCCTCCCCCTGCATGCGCATGCACGCACATTCTCTCTAATAAATAAATAAATAAATAAATAAATAAAGCTTTAAAAAAAAAAACCTATTTGAGGAAAACTAAAACATCCCTGAAAAATGTAACCATAGATCTGAACAAATGAAGAAACACAAACTACGTCCTTGGATAGGAAAATTCCATCATAAAGGATCAGTTCTCCTAACTTCTATTTTTGCCATAACGCAATTTAAAACACTATCAATTTTTTGTCAGGTGCTATACCAGTTGATTATAAAATTCATTTTGAAGAACAACAAGCAAGCCTGGCCTGGAAAACTCTTAAAAGGAACACAGAAAGGCCTAACTTTTCCAATTAAGACATACTGTAAAGCTTTTGTAATTGAAACATTTTTATATTGACATATGAAAAGACAAATAAACCGATGGAACACAATAGAAAATCCAGAAATAAACTTTTGCATACAAGAAAAGCCTCTCAAATCAGTGGGGAATTGATGGTCTTGTAAAAAAAAAAAAAAAGAAGAAAAAAGGGGCATTAAAATAAAGGCAAAGCCATGTGGAAAAAAATAGAACTGGATCCATTCCTCACATAATACAGGAAAAATTCCAAATGGAGTAGAGATGTAAATGTAAGAAAAGGAAACATGTAAATGCTATTTTTAAAAAATGAGTGTATTCACCTATAACCTGGAAGTGTAGAAAATATTCTAAACTATGACTCAGAGTCCAGAAACAATAAGGGAAAAATTGATGTATTCAATTTCCTGAAAATAAAAATAAAAGCTTTTGCATGGCCAAAAAAAAAAAAAAGCAAAATAAAGTTAAATGACGAAATTGAAAACATATTTGCAATTTATATCACCATGCTTCCAAAAATAAAGAAGGAAAAGGCCATCTAACCCATAAAAGAATGAGCTGATATAAATAATTTTCGCAGGAAAAGAAATGCAAATGCCTCTTAAACATATGAAAAGATGCTCATCCTCGCTCATAATAAGCAAAAGGCAAATTATAAGTACACTGAAATGCTATTTTTTATCTATCAGATTGGCAAAAAATACAAAAGTTTGAGTACATATTCTGTTGGCAAAGCTGTGGAAGACAGCCATTCTTATATATTGCTATGGGAATACAAATTAATAAAACTTTTGGGAAGAGGAATAGGGAAATAACTAACAAAACTATATAAGCACTATCCTTTGATCCACCACTCACAATATAATATAAAAAAAACCTGGGCACAAGGCTCATCTGTGCTCATTCTTTCTAAGAGTGAAAATTGGAAACATCTTACATGAACATTAATAGAGGAATGGTTGAATTAACTGTGATCCACCTACCCACTGAAAGAGTATCTCTATACTGTTGTGGGTTGGTCTTCAGAATATGAGAATGCAGAGTTTCTCAACAGTGACACTATTGATGTTTTAGGTCAGATAGTTCTTTGTTGCGAGGGACAATCCTGTGCATTGTAGGATGTTTAGCAGCATCCCTGTCCCTTACACATTAGATTCTAGGAACACCCCAACTCCCAGTTGTGACAACGAAAACTATCTCCAGATATTGCCAAATATCCCCTTAGGGACAGTCACCCTCAATTGAGAATCATTGATATGATGTTAAACGAGATGGCATGTCAGAGGGCGGGGCGGGGTGTGTGTCAGGGGTTGAGGAAATGTATATAGTATGTTTATATTAACTAAAGAGATGGATAAAATGTAACATTAATCTTCAAAAAATCATTACTTGGGGGCACCTGGGTGGCCAGTCAATTAAGCAACCGACTCTTGGATTTGGCTCAGGGTCATGAGATCGAGCCCCATAAGGGGCTCTATGCTCAGTGCAGAGTCTGCTTGAGATTCTCTCTCCCTCTGCCCCTGCCCCCCTCCCACCCTTCTATCTCTCAAATAAATAAATAAATCTTAAAAAAAAATAAAAACATTACCTGTAAGAAAAGAAGGAATAGGATGAAGGGGAAAGAGATAGAAGCTAAACTACTTTAATTATACCGTTTTTGTAAATTTGACATCAGTACTTTTACATATAATATAAAACAAAATTAAATATTAAAACAAGTTTGAAATTTGAAAGTAAATGGAAGCAAATGAACTTATATGTGTTGGTGGCATAGCTACACAGAGAAGAACTCTCTATGACTTTAAACATACTAATGTGACTGTATATCCCTAGTGGGATAAATCTCAAGGACCAAAAGAAATAAAAATAATATTAAATTGCTGTTGAATGATCATAGTTGTAATATAATTGCAATACCAATATTGTATTGTAATTCTGAGACTCACATGCGTGTATTTCATATAAAACAGTGAATAATTGTGATGATGTCATTGAGCACGAGAAATTTCAGCATGGGGTTTCAGCACAGGATACAGATATAAAAAAGAATGAGATTAAGTAAAAAACATGATGCCCTAATTTTGAATTGGATGTGTCAGTACAAACTCATGAAATGATTATTAACAACAAAAAACTTTGCTGACCATCCACTGAAAAAAAGCTAAGCACAATAGCAAATCCAATAGCAATGATCATTCCTAGCACCAATTTCTAACTAAAAAGAAATCAATGCTTTTTGGAGAGAGAAATGGATAATATAAGACTGGGTCAGAAAATGTACAAGGTGACCCAGGAAAAAATCACCAGTAGCAATTATTAGAAAGCAAAGAAGCTATCAAAGACTATAAGAATTGTGTCAAAAGATCTCAAGAGCTGACTTGAAGAGTCTTGCACCGGCCAAGGAAGGGCCGTTTGTGCACCAGTCAGTATAGTAGCTGCAACGGACAGAAATAGAACATCTGTGATTAAATTCATGAGCTCATACTGGTGCTTGAAAAAAATACTTCATTGGTCACTTTAGGAGGAGCTGGAGAACCATTATTTGAAATAGTAAATAAAGGGAAAGAATGAAACATCAATTATGACTTTACTACATAAATTGTCTTTCAGAGTAACCACACAATTGGAGAGAAGTTTCTTTTTAGGACTACTCTAGCTAACAAATGTGAAATAAATCATAGAATTAAAACATTACCATTTCATATTTTTAATGAATAAATGTTATCTATGTAAGGATCATCAGTGGTTGCTAATACCACATAACAAGGGTGAGAACTAGATTTATATATATCCAGATGGAAATATACTGTCTCACCCATTAGAGATATTTTTTGTCAAAAAAAAAAAGGAAGAAAAAGGAAATCTTATCAAGTCTCCTAGATCAAACTACCAGTTTATAAGAAATACAGGAAACAGAGGGACATGGAGAACAAAACCAAGGGGAAGCAATGAGCAAAATTTGGGTTGTGGCACCTAAAGAGAAAATGGTGCAGTTTGTTTACCACCACCAGCAACGACATAAAAATTGCAAGGGACTAAAAGGAGACAGAAGGAGAACCTATAAATTAAAAGATAATTAAAGGACATATGAACCAAATGTAATGGTTGGACCTTATTTGCATGTCCTGATTTTTTAAAATATGTTTCTTTTTATAAACATACATAACACCCTAAAAAAAATAGGAATATGAACACCCTGAATACTTAATATTAAGGAATTATTGTTTTCTTTGTTTAGGTGCAGTAATGAATAGTGTGTGTGTGTGTGTGTGTGTGTGTGTGTGTGTTTATTGTAAGGGTCCCTACCTTTTAGAGATACATACTGAAATGATGGGATTTGCTTCAAACTAAAATGGGGAGCAGATGTTGGATGAATGGCTACATACATAAAACAAGATTAGCCATAAATTGGTCACTGTCAAAGCTGAGCTATGAATATGTGAGGGTTCATTAAACTATGCGTTGGTTATTTTATTACAGTTACTTATTTATATCTGCCTGAAATGTTTTATAAGAAAATGCCTTATAAAAGAAAACAACTTGGGCGCCTGGGGGGCTCGGTTGGTTAAGCATCTGCCTTCGGCTCAGGTCATGATCCCAGAGTCCTGGGATTGAGCCCGATTCTCCCTCTCCCACTCCCCCTGCTTGTGCTCACTCTGTGTCTCTCTGTCAAATAAATAAATAAAATCTTGAAAAAAAAAAAAAAGAAAGAGAGAGAGAAGACAACTTGGGAACATCGTATTTTCGCCATCATCAGTACCATGTTCTTCACCAGACATATGCCATCTGAAGGAGAGCTTCTGTGTGGGGCCCCTGCAGCCGAGCTCTGATTGCTCACACCTGAGTTCATGCGTCCCGTTTCTCTGCCTCTTTTTTACTCTTCCCATCCCATCACAGCTTCCACATTGCCTCCACTCGAAGGAGCTCATAACAGAACTTAAGTTAATAGAAATGTACCAAACTAAGGTCACCTTGGGATCTCTTATATTATGCCTCAGATAGTCTGTGCCATTATCACCCTCAGGGGGCTGTCTCAGCTGTTCAATTAATAGTGAGAATATTGATTAGCTCATAGTTTATGTTCCTGCTAACGTGAACTACTGGTTTATTGTCAGCCTCTAATTACAGTGTGTTTTCATACGAGATCTTTCTACATATTGAGATACCTCCTGGAAGCTGGGCTCCAAGGACGTGGAGGGAGGAGAGAGAGAGGGGGCCTTTTTATCAGCAATGAGTGAATTGGCATTCGTCATCACTCTTGTCTTCTTTTAACTATAGGTATTTATCAAAGTGCTGGATAATAATGATAATGGCCCAGAATTCTCTCAGCCAAATTACGATGTCACAATCTCTGAGGACGTGCTTCCAGATACAGAGATCTTGCAGATTGAAGCCACAGATAGAGATGAGAAGCACAAGTTGAGCTACACTGTCCACAGTAGCATCGACTCGGCCAGCATGAGGAAGTTCCGGATTGAGCCCAGCACGGGCGTGCTCTACACTGCCGAGAGGCTGGACCACGAGGCCCAGGACAAGCACATCCTCAATGTCATGGTAGGACCACGCTGCTAATGTGCTCCCCTAACACAGTCTGTGACCATTCAAGACACACTCCTTGGTCTTCAGAAGTACGGGGCCCTTAAGTGTTGTGAGTAGGAGTAAATTTGGTTTTCTCACAGCAGGGTCACCTTCGTTTCTGCCTTTTTATTTCCATGAGGAAAATTGCTATTGTTCTAGAGTGACCCGATATTTTTGCCAGACTGAAGTAGTAGATGAGTTCTGCAGACAGTGGCTGCTGACAGGCTGACTTGGAAGGAAGGAACAGGCCATGTTTCAGTAAATCTCCCAGGCTATGATATTGGTTCGCATCCAGAAGATTCTGTAGAAAAGTTTAAAAGAAGTTCCTTGAGAAGTTAATCACAAGGGCAATCATCTACTCAAAATATGCAGTGCTCAGTCCTTGGAAGCATTTAGAGGACTGATTTATTACTTACTGCACTGGCATTGGACCTAGTAGTAAATACCGCCACCCAAAACAGATCTCAAAACACACTGAAGCCTGCAGAGTGTCCGTTAGGTCTGAACTTGGGTTCATGGGACCTCCAAATTATGTGGAAGTTGCTTTAATTTTAAAGTGGAGTTTTCCTAGTTCACATCATTGGGAAGTAGGAATTAATAAGAAACATCCTTGATCAGTTTATGGCCTAAAATCTGGCCCTTTGACCATCCAAGAACCCTGGGGGCAATTGCATAGCCCCTGCCTCACAGACCCCCTGAGTTCCTTAAGACACATACTAAATCTTGGGTACTGACTGCCTTTAAAACACATTAAGATGCTACCAGTTTCCTAGCAGCTGAACGTGATGTTCCGCTAGGTGCCACTCTTCCTTCTTCCCAAGTCTGGAAACACTGCTGGGCCAGAAGAAGCTCCAGGGCCATGTCCTTGGCAGTTTCCAGCTGAGACCCCGTCCCCCAGTGGGGGGAGGAAGAGGGACTCTTAGGGACCGTCAGATCCACCCTCATTCATTCAACAGATATTTCTTCAGCACCTAATGTGTACCAAGCCCCATTCTAGGTACTGAGGACGCAAAAGAGACAAAGCTCCTCCACCCTTGGACATTCCACTGAACAGCCCTAGGTCTCAATAACCCCGAAATACAGAGTTCAGCTTGGTCCCGGGGTGTGGCAGGCCAGTCTACGGGTGGGAAGATGGAGCACATTCACCCAGTTGCTTTTGCATGCGTTTTATTCAGGGGCAGAAACCTTATGCCAAGGACTAACTCCATTCTCATGACTCAAGTCATTCCTGTTCATTCTTTCCTTAACAAACTCAAAATTCAGTTTGGTCACCCTGTATCATTCATCATTGCTGTAATTGATTATTTAGAGCAAACATGTCCTTTATGCTGCCTTTCTCCAAGCTAAGCCATTTTAGTCCGTTTGCTCATTCCTTGCAGGTACTATTTTTGAAAAGCCCTTTCCCTTTGATGGCTCTCCTCGGTCTATTTTCTAACTTCTCCACATCTCTCTGAAGTTACGGAGCCTAAAATTGAACAAACACAAAGCACACATTTGATTAGCACTACATAAAATTATAGCGAAATCATGCGGTGAGGGTTAAAGAATTGATTATTTGCGAGCTTCTGGCATATGCAAATCAGGGGAAACTTTAAAGCAGGTTGCTCGGTGAAGTCACAATGAGGGCTCTGGCATTTTAAAAATGAAGGTTTGGTTTATCTTCCTGGGAATCAGGGTTCTCTCTCAGTCCTGGGCCTTTGCCTTGGGGGGCTCTCTTTGCCTGAAACATGCAGCCCATGCCACCCTTGGACCATTTCTACTTATTTTTGTTACCTCTTCCAAGAAGCTGGGGGCCGGGTTAGCTGCTTCTTACGACTCACTCACATTCTGGCACTCATCACCAGGCTTCCTACCTATTTGCTTGTTTCCGTCCCCCACTCACCTGTTAGCATCTGGAGGGGAAGGACCAGATCTGAGTCACTGCTAAACCCCCAGAGCAAAGGCAGGACTTGACAGATAATAGGTGACAACAAATGTTTGTTGAATGAATGAATAGAAGGCATTGCATGCTTTGCATTTATGAATTCTTTTCACTGAACGTTTTAGTTTCCCCTTCAGAAGAGTATCCATCCACCGTCCCATTACCAGCTATATATACAAATGAGGCGGAAGCGGCTGTGGGCAGTGATGCAGAGGAAAGATACTTAGGCAGGGAACATCACGAACACAGGCTGAACACAGACCATAGGCCAGTCATCATGCTGAGCAGTAAAATGGATGTGGCCCCGACTCTCAGTCTGTTCACCATTAGTGTCCTCACTCGATAGCACCATCACTTACCGAGCCCCTACCCTGTGCCTGGGACAGCATCAAGCACTTTGTGTGAGTTACCTCATTTTCTCTTTGCCACAGACATAGCCGTGTGAGAGTTCCTTGCAACTTCAGATCTTAGTCCTACTGCTTCTTGTATTTTGCCTAAAGGTCAGAGATCAGGAGTTTCCTTATCGAAGAAACTTGGCCCGAGTCATTGTGAACGTGGAAGATGCTAATGATCACAGTCCTTATTTTACCAACCCATTGTATGAAGCATCTGTGTATGAATCGGCTGCTCTGGGATCAGCTGTTCTGCAAGTGACGGCTCTGGACAAAGACAAAGGGGAAAATGCAGAACTCATATATACCATAGAAGCAGGTGAGAGCTGTTGCACAGATCGCAATATAATGCATGGCCTTTGACCCTTAGCAGCGTTTATCACCATGTGAAATTCACACAGTTACCCCTGGAATGGCTCCAAAAGCGTGGTTTGGCCAAACAACTGCCCTATTTGCGTGATGATGCTCTATCAAGTTCTTGGCATTTTTGGTAATACGTTTTCCATCACTGACAGTGAGGAAGGAGTTCCCTTTATTGTGGTGTTCTCAGATTGTTCTGGAATGGAGGAGAGAGAAGAAGTGTGTGGTAAACTCAGTGGCTTTTCCTAATGGGTCAACAAGCCATGGCCTCAGACTAAAATAACCAAAGTCTCCCTTCTCTTGAGGGCTGCCAGGCTGTTCTGTGAATTGAATTGTATGTGTCTTTGTTTATCTGTCACTGCGCGAGCTGTGGGCTTCGAAAATATCTATACCCCCACGGTTAGCAGAAATGCACTTCCGTGGAGGTGATTGAGAGTTGCAGAGTGGGTAGGAGATACTGAACTGCCTGCTCAACCAGACAGATAAATACATACAGCCTCACATTCTGTTAAATTTGAGATTTTTAAAATCAATTTTGACATCCATAAGGCCAGACCATATTTCACTGATGATTTGAGGACCGAAAGGAAGAAAATATTCATGACAGAAGAGATGATTGTCCAAGCAAAGGATAGGACTGTGAACCTAACGATTACAAATATCCCTTATCTGCTGTATTTTCCCTTCCCCTCTTCTGTCTTTTTTTTTTTTTGAATATTCAAGCCACATATTTCCAAAATGTTCTGCAACATTATGTCTGTCGTGCATAATGCCAAATGCTGTATCCTTTTATGGCAGCACTGGAAAGACTTCTTTCCCGTGATTTAAATGTGGAGCATTTTTGTGAGTGGTTGAATTAAAATATGAATGCTAGAATGACAGTTTTGGACTAAAAAATATTAGAGAAAGAAAAGCCAACAATCTTCTTTATACAAAAGCCACTGCAACGAATGATACTCTAAAACTATTTCCCATATTAGGTGCCCACATTTTATAGGAGTCAAAGCTAAGCTCTATACAAAAAAAATAATAAGATAAAGAAATAAAAGACATTAGTTTTGTAAGAGCAAGGGGCCCCGAGAAACTTCACCTGTTTCTTTTCTAGATATTTATGGAATTTTCTTCTAACCTAAAGCCTGACCAGTATTTTTTTTAAGTGCTATTTTGCATCTGTTGTTTACCACAGGAAATTTTAAGTATTTAATTATATAATCCTTGTTCTTCTAGTTCCACAAATAACATAGGGAAGCTTCTTTTTTTCAAAACACAAATATTTAAATAACGTCACAGAAAGTGCTGCCTGATCCAACAACTCTTCAGACTCTTTCTACAGTTTTTTCCTAATCTTACATATATTTTTCTTTTCCCAGTATTCATCCACGAACATACACTGTTCCATATATCTGTGATCATCTAGGTAGGGAGTTTTATTTCTTTTTTTTTTACTTGACATTTTCTCAGCATTGTCTATGGTGTCTACCTCCTTTTTGTGTTTGTCGTTACAGCTACTACTTATACTCTCCTAGCTAGGCCAATAACTTCTAAGCCAATTTGGAGGTTCTGAGGAGTCAGACAAGAGCCATTTCCCATCCTGCTGACAAGACCACTTTCCTTATGTTTCAACAGCCACACTCTGTAGGCCGGTGCTATGGGTAGACCAGGGATTCTGTCGTGCCTTTAACCACTGACTAAAAACAGAGAGAAAAGTTATTTTCTTAAAACATCTTTCATATGAAAACTTGAATTTCCAGAAACCTGGAAATTTCCAGAAACCCAGAAATGATCTGATACCTCAAAAAAACGACCTCTGATTGTCTGTGTGAGAAGCTAATGAGGATTTCGGTGTGTGCCCAGTAATTCACAAGTGGTCATGGGGCTCCTTTGTGGACAGACAGACCTCCACAAGCCCTGGACTGCTCTTGGCCAAGCCAGTTCCTTCCCGGATCCTGGTAGGAGAGAGGGAGGACCCAGATGCTGCAACATTGTGAAGCAAATGACAGGTGGTTGTGTAGAGTGGACATTTTACGTAGGTTCTCTTCCAAACTTCAGATAAGCAAGGTTTTCCTCTGCTTACTGGTGGGCCGTACACTTCTTAGCCCCTGCCTGGCCTCTGAAGTAACTACGGAAGCTTTTATCTGGGCCCAAAGAACTGAGGTGATATTTGAGTGTGGAGCTTCAGTTCCTATATTTGGTTCAGATTTCTGTTTGGTGCCACAACGGCTCATGAGTGGCTCCGAAACAGGAGAGACAAGGACTAAGAATTGAGTTACAATGCGGGGGTCTCTTGGGCATATACAGATAAAGAACTAAAAATCTTTTTTTAGATCTACCTCTCCTCTCAATCATTTTTTTTTAATTTATTTTTTTTAATTCTTTTGTTAATCCCCATACATTACATCATTAGTTTTAGATGAAGTGTTCCATGATTCATTGTTTGTGCATAACACCCAGTGCTCCATGCAGAATGTGCCCTCCTCAATACCCACCACCAGGCTAACCCA